GATCTCCTCTAGAGCAGTGATGTTTTGGGGCTGTCGCTGGGCAACACAGACTTTCAACTCCCTCCAAAGATTTTCTATGGGGTTGAGATCTGGAGACTGGCTAGGCCACTCCAGGACCTTGACCAGGACCACATGACTTCCCTCGCTGTCATCTCACACAAACTTTTTTAGAGACCAACATTTATTCAGCACTTGAATGCAGCTTTTACTTTTATTTAATAGAGAACAATGTGTGTAAAGGAAGCCAGAACAATGGTTAAATAATTGATCTGGTTTAAGCTATTAGTGAATTGTACAACTCTTAGGACCTAATGATTTAACTGAGGGCTATTCAAGTGTTTGTCCTTGGATGTTGAATTGCTGATTTAAAGACTCGTTTTCAAAGATAAGTCCATGGCAAAAATATTTCTTATTAATATTTCTTTAAACTTTTCCTGGAGGCTTTATACTTTGGCGCTTATTTTACTACATCACCTTACTATGTGCTCCTTTCCTGCTGTCACAATTAGAGACAGTTGTTCCTACTTGGAAAAAACTCACACCTTAGTGTTCTGATGCATGAAGTAATATTATTGTAATGATACTGGTCATGCAGTGTCATTGCCCCTAGACAGTGGCTCCTGGCTCTATCCTTCAGTCTCTTTTTCCTCTATTCCTGCTCCCATTTTTCTCCATGTCCTCTCGCCTTCCTCCATCTCTCCTCCAAACATGGAGCTTCTACTTTGAGCTCCTTCAACCCCCTGAAGACAGACAGACATGGAGGGAAGCAGGCTTTGGGGGATGCGGGGGATGATGGGGGATGGAGGAGAGGGTGTGAAGAACAGTATTGCCAGAATTACCTCACTTCAACAAACACACACACACACACACACACACACACACACACACACACACACACACACACACACACACACACACACACACACACACACACACACACACACACACACACACGAGAACCCGCTCTATAACCACCCCACTGGCACACACCGCAGCCGGACTCTCCCCCAAAACCCCCTCTGTGCTTTAAATGGCGTAATTTTATTTGCATAATGTCAGCTCTGCGCACACACACACACACACACACACACACACACACACACACACACACACACACACACACACACACACACACTCCTGACATGTTTTAATAGGCAGGATAATTGAATACGGTTTTCCCACTAGTGCCCTGAAGGGTCTATCTGTATATTCTGCAGAGGATCAGCGCTCCATACGTTTACTTAGTCAAATAGGATCACATTTGCCGCGAGATGAACTGTTAATCATAGACTTCAAAGGTTAATGAACTCGCGCTTGTTTTTTTTTATAGAAGATGGAGAGAGGTAACATCCTGTCACAAAGATGGAAAATAAAAACTAGCAGCCTCGTATCAAAGTTGCGTCTGTATCTTTTTTATAAAACAATCCAGGACTAATTAAAAAAAGAAAAAACCTTCTAATGAAAAAGAGCAAAGATAATGAGAGTAATGCTTGAAGTGGAAATCAACGTGACATTTTCCCAAGTGTAATTTCTTTCCTAATTATTACTAGGATACAGCTTAATAAGAGAGACTGAATGGATGTCTGCGCCTTGTTCAGGGCAACATAATTACAACGAGAGCAGTGCGGCTGCAGATGCTGATTAAAGGAGAAACACGAGACATTTAGTTTTTTCTTTACAGCTGCACTAATTGGAAGAAGCCTTGAGGTGGCCTATTAAAGCGAGTATGTATTCTATGGATGATTATATATCATATTACACCAGTTGTTCTTTTTATAAAATCAGTGCCTTTGTACAATTTAAAATATCACATCAAACCAAACATCAAAGTAAAAGGGTTCTTATTGCACTGTAACCTCATTTATTTTCAAGACTATAGGATATTATCTTCTTGAGTTTTTGTTTAGGTAAATGTTTTTGTTTGTCAGCATGATAACTAAAAATCTACCGACGCGATTTTAATCTAACTTGGTTTAATGGTGTAGCGTGGGCTGAGAAGGAACCCAACATTTTTTGGAGTGTAATCGAATAACAAGGTGGATACACACGCTATTTATCTCTTATGGAAAGTGCCTTAGCCGAGGTCTGCGGTATCCACAAGACCGCCTAGAGAAGTATGTTTTTCTGTCAAATTTAAACTGTCACACAACCTTTACATCGTCCAATTAGTAATGAAACTATTTCATATACATTTGCTCTATGAAATTACGTGAACTTAAGGAGGGGAAATTCAAAGGTTAGCACAAAAGCAGCTGTTTCCTCTGATAGTGTTCAATGTTAATAGCTTTAAGAGGCTCTGTGTATGGCAGGAGAGCGACAACATTCTACAAAATAAACATCATTTCTGTTTTCCTTCCTCTTTCCTTACTTGTTGGTTACCCTACGACCACTCAGCTTTAACTTACAACACTTTGGGTGCTGCCAGTGCTTGATCAACCTCTCCAAGTGTAACAATCTTATGGCTGAAAGATTTGATTGTGAGTTCAGCTGTTAGAGAAGTCTGTCAGTAGAATAGTCTTTCACATATCGCTGCTGGCCCACACAGCTGGCATGCTTCAGATATGAGTAAATTAAGCTATAAGTAAAGAAGCACTAAGGTTTCCATTACTGTAAATCACATGCAGTAAAATACCTTTAAGATATTCTCACAAAACATATTTTTTACTGATTCTTTCTAACAATACAACGAAACACCTTCGGAATGATCGTAAGAATAATAAAATGACATCTTCTGCACCTCCAAGTGTTGAAATGGTCTCTAACTCAGAGACTCCACTATGGCCTGAGCTTTCCATAATGCACTGTTGCATATTTTAGGCTTTTCTCTTTTATTCATAGAAACCCTTAACCCTTTTTTTGGCTTTGTTAACCACATCTCCCTTCCCCCTCTCTTCCTCTCTCTCTCTTTCATTTATGAACTCACCTCACCTACGCTATCCATCCTCCCCCCCCCTCCTCTTCCTACTCCTCCACCTCCTCATTTTCCACACACAGCAAACCCCTCGCCTAAAAATGAAATCAGATTTTTTTTCCTTCTCTCTCTCTCTCTGTGGATGAGGGTCTCTGGGTCTTTTGTTCATCCACCCGCACATTTGGCCTCCTCTGGTTACCACGGCAACCGGGTGTACACATACTGTTGCTCCAGCAGAGAAATATTGAGATCGAGAAGAGAGAAAGGGGATGCAGAGAGATAAGAGTGACAGAAAAGGAGGGAGGAGACACGAGAGAAAGAGTGAAAGATATTGAGTGATAATGATAGAAAAAGGATACAGAAATAAATGAATGGAGGAATGCGGAGGGTGTAGATATCATTCTTTAATGCTGCAAGAGCAGTATTTTCCCCCCGTTCAAATTATTCTCCCCAAAATGAAATCCATTTTCTCCTTTTCTATCTATTTGTTTTGCAGAGGATAATTGAATTTTTTCCGTTACACAGCAAAGTTGTAATCTCATCTACTATCCTGGAAATTCACCCTGCATGTTTCATATCAGCGGCTGATTGTAGAGAAAGAGTTTAAAGCGCGCTGTGCTCCAGATCAGAGCATCAGCGGAAAAAAATCAATGTAAAAAATGCAGCAATGACAATTTGAAATGTAGAGAGACACAGCGGGGACATGTTCCTTCTTTCTAACTCGCGACTCATCAATTTTATACTTTTTACTCATCAATTTAGCTTGAAGTTACCAAAAATGATATCAGAAGAAGGGAGGCAGGCAGGCTTTAAAAGAAATAACTGTATTATTACTGAAATGTGTTCTAATATTGTCTGTTTTGAACCTCTTATTTATAGTAGAGATTGGAACGGAGAAGACAAAAGGGAAACAGAACAACATGGATTCGGTGGGCAGAACTAAAATGACGTTGAACGAGGGAGAAGGGAATCAAAGGTAAGGACAAAAAGGGATTAAGACAGTGAATCAAGGAAAGAGACAATAAATATCAGCAGCCTCTTCCTCCCCCCTGGTTGTCTGTGTTTGCTGTATCAGTAGGAATCCAAACCTGCAGACATGCAGCCATCTGCCACGCTGGCTCCAGCCCAGCGCTCAGAGGAGCCAAGATAACGCCCAGTCACACATTCTCCAAAGAACTACATTCAATGTTAAGACTTACACACTGGGAAACGCATGTACTATTGGTATTTTCTGTACTTGAATATGTAGTAGGACATTATACTGCAATTAATTAATTAAAAGTATGTTAAGTTTAATTTGAATATGTAGGTTCAACTGAATTGTATTGCTTCCAACTAACATAATACAGTTATGTGAAATTTGTTGACATAATACATTTCATTAAAGTCAATGTTTCAGTTTTTTCAGTGTGAATTTTATAGTAGATTCTTAGATCACCACCTCTAAAGATTTTAGCTTTAATGATACAGAGATAGCATTCAACCATGGCAACCATAGCTGCAATAGCATGACCTCTATTATAAACACCATAACTTGAACTAGAATAGAACGAGGAGATGTGATTGAAAAAATATTCAGAGTATCCGCCCCATGATTCAGATCCACTCCGAAATGTAATGGTATCATTCTCGGCCCCTGCTTCATCCTCCAACTGAGTTTCATGAAAATCAGGCCAGTAGTTTTTCTGTAATCCGGAAGACAAACAGACAAACAAACAACAAACTGCAAACACATCCTCCACAGCTGAGGTAACAACAGGCTTCAACATGAAGGCTGCATTGGGATATGCTGTCAGAATCCCAGTAAACAGTAATAATCTACCATAATATTAATTGTAGACACATTAAGGGCAGCTATTCTGTCTAATTTCAGCTAAATTAGAGGTTTAAGGGCTATAAAAAGCCTTTTCAATGATTGATTCCCTGAATTTCTTGTAGTTATCCCTAAAAAATATGCTGCATTTATATCATTTTTAGCAGTCTGCTCACAGATGAAAGCAGACACATATTGTACAGCTCCATTTTAATTAGCTAAACTAGCTATTTAAAAGCAGACATTCATGTGATGGTGGCTTGCAGCCAACTAGCCACCAATTCATTGACACTTCTTTCACTAAGTGAGAGACATTGTAGAAAAAAACTGAAACGGTGCCATAGCTAACAGAAGGCATACAACAAATATACTATAGAGGGAAACTAATTGGTGTTAGGATGAACCTTAATAATTTTAGCAATTTCAGGGGCTGTAGTCCTTCTGCCTCACTACACGGAACAGAAAGCACGTATGAGTCTCGACGCTAAGAGCAATCTAAACCTAATACACTTGATCTATATTGCATTTTGTTATTATACGTTACAGAAAAGAGATGAAACAGAGGCTGAATATGAGGCTAAATCGCTAATATAAGATGGCTTCAGCTGCAGACAACTTTTTTTCTGGATTACAAATGAAGACACGAGGTTAGCGCTAACACAAGCTGACATTTCTTTGGAGCAACAAGATGAGCGAGGGTCCACTGACTGGTGTTTGAACTTGGAAGCAGCATGAGTGCGAGGCTGGTGAACTGCTTACAGACACACTGATTGGCTGAGTAGAAAGCTGATGAAGGAGTGATGAACAGAGACGGAGAGAAAATAGAGGAGCTATCA